TGCTAGAGAGCATTTGGATGATCCAGAAGGGGATTGGGAGAATGTCATAAGGTCAAATGAAACTAAAATATCTAATAATCTTTGGTAAAAACTCAACTCGTTGTGTTTGGAGGAGAAAGAATGCTGAGTTGCATCCAAAGAACACCATAGCTACTGTGAAGCATGGGGGTAGAAAAATCATGCTTTGGGGCTATTTTCTGCAAAAGGACCAGGATGACAGATCCGTGTAAAGGAAAGAATGAATGGAACCATGTATCGTGAGATTTTGAATGAAAACCTCCTTCCATCAGCTAGGGCATTGAAGATGAAACGTGGCTGGGTCTTCCAGCATGACAATGATCCCAAACACACCGCCCGGGCAACAAAGGAGTGGCTCGGTAAGAAGCATTTCAAGATCCTTAAGTGGCCTAGCCAGTTTCCAGATCCCAACCACATACAAGTGCCCAGTGACAGCCCCAAAACAACATTGCTCTAGAGGAGATCTGCATGGAGGAATGGGCCAAAATACCAGTAACAGTGTGTGAAAACCTTGTGAAGACATAGTTCCAAGATGTGGAACATTGTGGCTGTTTTTGTTTCAAGTGGAGTGGTCCAGGAAGTGTGAATGACAGTAAATTCACATTAAACTAAGACTAGAAATTAAGAAACTCCATGTTGTGATTTCACATCACCATACAAAAATAAAAATAATTTTAAATCAGAAATCTCCAAACTAATCTGTCCTTCGCAGTTTGTGGAAGCACAAATACAAGCCAGATTTCTACCAAACTCTTCCACGTGTTCCCTATTTAAATACAGTTACGTGACGTGTTACACTACAAAGTATAGTAACACAGAAATGTAACATGTCGATGTTCTCAGCGGATAAAGAGGGGTACTATATTGTGAGCGCACGCCGCTCACGCTGCTTCTATTGACGGAAGTGAGTGGGAGAGAAGTCTTTAGGAGTTAGTGCGCGGACGTAGTGCTCCTCGTATTATTACGCCTCACAATATAGTACCCCTTTTTCTGTGTTCCTATACTTTGTAGTGTAATACGTCACGTAACTGTATTTAAATAGGGAACACGTGGAAGAGTTTGGTAGCTTCTAAAGGGAGCTGATTTGGAACTATACAGTATGTGGAAGAAGCTGCGTTTGTGCTCCGTTTGCATGACAGAGCGCACGGACAAAGACCAGACAGGTACATATCAACTAGTCTAAGGTAAGGTAAGAACATATGTCAGTATGTAAAAACGGTGGCCTATTCCTTTAAATTGTTCTTTTACCAATTAGTACACAAAAATAGTTTCAGCTTCATCCTTTCCTGATTTTTTTTTTCCCCTGCTGAAGCTTGTAACTACTAGACTATAGGAATACAACTTTTTGACGTATTTCACATTTCTGACAGTTTTTGCAAAGAAACACTTCAAATGTTGTAAAATAGAATGAATATATCTTGCTGTTCTATAGAAAAAGAAGAAAACATGTCTTGTCTATAGTCTAGAAAACAGGTGAAACACACAAACCGCATGTGTCCTTGTGTGTTTGCATCTGCACAACCCTGACTCATAGTGGTCCTGGTGGAGGGCCAACTTCTTTACTTGTCTCCATGGAGAGGATCAATATTCTCATGGTGATTTCTAATTTTCAACAATATAAGAGAGAAAGATATTGCAGCCAACCTAGAAAAATAAACGCATGCATCTTTGTGTAATCCCAGTGACTTCTGATTGTGCATATGGTTCAAAAGTGTGTGTCCCAACTCTGACTCAGCAAACTGGGCCTTAGCACGCTCTTTTATCACCTAATCCAGTTTGGGAGATGAATGGCGCCTATAATCTAATAATCCCATAGCAATATACATGAATCTCTGACCTTTGCTTTAACGCAGGGCAGAGGCAAGGAAAAAAATACACCTGCGAGCACACGGATAATTTAAGTGCACATTTAGAAAAGGCTTACCCGGTTCTTATCACGAGTGTTTTGAAGCCGGCACAGTGAACAAAAGCTAACTCCAAGTATTGTATAATGGCTTTGAGCGTAAATCCGATGTTCCAGTCACACAGTCCTGTAGTCAAGAGTTTTTTTTAAGATCACAAATGCAGTCGCCTTGCATCTCCTCATTGCCAAATATTACAAAAAGCAATGGTTTTTAAATTAGTAATACCGATTAGTTAAGTATTTTGCCGAGACTCTATGTCAGCCTATTTTCAGCTTACTTCCTTAAAGTTGCTATTTTTCTTTTTTTATCAGAGGAAAGCACCGGTTACACGTGGCCATTCTCTCCGGCACTGCTTTGTAATTGGATAGAATTAATTTGTAATCCTTGTTGTATAGACGAGGCTTCTTTCCATTGGTCAAACTATTCTCCTCCAACTAATCTGATTGGTGGTGGTTATGGCATGAGGAGAGTCTGTATTAGGTTTTTGAAATATTCTTACTTTACATAATACATGCCAGTGCCACTATATGATACCAGTGTGCATTCTCATTTCTCACCTTTATTAAAATGAATCTATAATTAAAGATAAGGCAAATATGATGCATGTTTGCAATGATGACAAAAGTACAAGAGTTAAGTAAATCTCTTTAAAAATCCAATAGTTGAAGTTCTTCCAAATAATTGTGATATCGTGAATGTGAAAATCAAGTCTTGCATAAGACAGCAAATTAAATTGTAATTAACACATTTTTTCTTTGTAGAAGATGATATGATTAGGTTGCCCACTGATGAGGTGTCGGTCTCAGTTTGCCATTGTGCGTTGAGTTTTTGTAGGTTAGATCCCAGCTTTTGGCCCCTTTGTCACGAATATAAAACTGATATATAGACGACGCTAAAAAAATAAAAATAAAATAAAATGTGTCAATTGATTTAGTGATTTTTATGTAGTAACACTAGCACCAAATCATGTGTTGTAGTTTTGATTTGGAGCTTGAATAGATCACAATCTCCCTCATCCATATTCATTCCAGGTGTAGCTTTGTAGCATAGCTTTACAAACATTTCAAAACAAACATTTGACTTGTCCACTCATCCGGTGTCTGTATGAGCAGCCAAACTCTAAAATGAATCAACTAAAACTTCATACAAGCATCAGATTTCCAAGTTGGTTTATTCCCAAAGCGTATCCGTTGCAGAAAACGTAACAAAATTAGTATCAACAAAAAATAACAGGCAGCAAACCACTCTGACATGTGGTGTAACTTTGCCAACTCAACTGAAAGGATTGTCTAAAATAATATATATAATAATATAAGTTATTCATTTCTTTCATATTATCTGTCAGCAGCATCACCAGTACCATACACAGTAATTGTATAGTTCCCAATATGCAATCCTCCTCTGCCCCATCATCAGATTTCAATGATTAATGTCTTTTTGGAAGCAAAACGGACATTTTCCATAGAACTGAAAGACGTATTGATATTGTGGTGTATCTGTGGCGAGCGAGGGGCCATCTCAGTCCTGCAAAAGCAAATACATTTATCATAGAAAAGCGTTACTTGCATAGGTCCCATAAACAGTTATTTTGTATTCAGTGTCAGCACAAATATGTAAAGGTTAAAGACAAAGATTGCTAAGGCACTTGTATAAAATGCAAGCATAGAAAAAACAGCCAAGACCCTTCTTACGGTAAGAGACAATGAATGAACTTTGAATACATCCCATTAATCTTGAAGGAATACGAGCACATATCAGTAAATTAGTTGATTGTGACAAAGTTATGGAATAAAGTGCAACATTTGAATGCATGTTTTGAGTTATCATCCTCCTCCGCCCACAAGACACCATCGCTCCAACCCAACTTTTTACTTTTTGTTCCTCTTATGTCAGACAATAAATCATGAATGCACAGCTTGCTAGTTGCTACTGTTATGTGCTCCTATGAGTGGTCCTTTGTGGCAAACCAGTGTTGTGTATTTTCTGGTCAATAATAAGATGTTCAAATGTTTCGATTATATCATTCTAATGCACAGGTTAGCAGAACATTAGCACAATAAGGTCTATAGAGAAAAATATGGTCATAAATGTGGAACTGTTCAGGTGCATTTTCAGATTGCTGGATATTGACATTTTTTTCAGTGAAAATTGTTCAAACCAAACTGAGCAACATTCCGAGCAAAGCATTAACATAACTATCGCAAGCAGCAGGTATTGGATCACAAAAGGCAGGTCACCACCAGCACCAGTTAGGTTAGGGAACAAGAATACACCTTTAAGGATACATAGAATACTTACAACTAGATTAAAATGTATGTCTTCAGCTTCAACTGTATTTAATTTTAAGATGAATGCATATTACGTATGATCATTTGAACCTGTAGCATCTGGCGGAGAATTGTTGGACTACTAGTGAGGGCTGTCCATCAAGTATTTGAAGTCATTGCATCCAAAAGCGATGTGGCGACTGTTTGAATAATGTCTCTCAATCGTCACAATTTTAAAAGTAACAAACCTTCAAGTATTTCAAATCTACAATCATTATGTTAAGGAGACATACAAATCCACCACAATAAGCAAGTTGGTCAAAGCCTATTGTCATTTTGCACAAGCTAAGCAGGACAGGACCTGGCTTGTGCTGTGATGGAGAACCTCTGAGAACCAGGTGCAACAGGGACAGCTATAAAGTGCTGAACTGTTATGTGTTTTGGCAAAGCAGTTCACCCATAATGCCTAGTGTGAGTCTGGTGGTGGTCGGATGGGCCGATGGTGCAGTTGGCAGCCTCACTTCCATTAGTCTACCGTAGGGCAGCCATGGCTAGACTGGCTACAATCCTGGCGTATCATTGTTATGTGTGGATAAATGAAAGAATTGCACTGAACTAAAAAGCCTTAAATCAATAAAACTAAAAATGCCATGCTTACTAAGTATCTTGGCCTTATTTACTGATATGTACTGTATTCAAATCCCACAGCTTTTGTAACACGCACCAGAGGCACAGTATACGGCAAATCAAGTACAAAAATGCGCAACTTCTGCGTTCTCCCTTTTATGAACAGGTTTCTCTTTCGTATTGTCTATGAATGCACCAGTTTGATGCCTAACCCGGTGTCTAGCACGGCGGGCGGGAACCAGGCCAGCTTACACCTCCGGAAGCATCGCAGGCACACTCCGCACAGCCAGAACAGATTCAGCCCGCAGCACCAGTTGGACAAGTGCACCATGGGATACGTGGCCTTGGGAAAGTGGGTCTCCCAGTGCTTGGCCACGTCGCTCCCCGTTGGCAGATGCAGGGTGTAGTCGCTCCAGCGCTTGGACACTCCGTACATGGCCGGGACGGTGCGGGCCTTGTCTGACCACTGGCTGTTGGAGTCCGGGTTGCAGTTGAAGTCCACCCACTCCGCTGTGAAGTCTCCGAGGCAGGGGATGTCGCCGAGCTCCGGGTCGCCTCTGGTCTGGATCAGCTCTGCACCCTGCACCGCCACGTACACGCCGTCCACCCGCCGCACGTCCCTCACCCACGGGAGTGAGTGTTCGGTGTCCAGCACGATAATGAGGCGCGAACAGTGGCCAGCGTTTTTCTCCTTCCATAGATCCAAGAGTTGGGCGAGGTGGAGACTCTCATTCCCTGCAAAGGTAAGGTAGTAAGGTTTATTTGTGTAGCACGACATCCAAAGATCCGGCACACAACGCGCTTCCCATAAAAACAAACAACACTGCCTAAATAAGGCAAGGCAGGTTTATTTGTATGGCACAGTTCATACACAAAGCAACAAGATATATACATCAATCGTAAATAATCACCACACATTTCATGTTTTTGATGAAACACACATTATCAAACAATATCTTAGTTTGACATTGTTTGGCCAGTTTTTCTTTAAATTTCTTAAGCCAGACATTTTCATACAGATGACTAGGTGGGGGTTGCCATTTTGACAATAATCTCATTGACCTCTGTTTTTCTATTGATCCTTATCATTTTAATGTGGCTCTTTATGGCCAGTGTGAATGCAGAACAAGGTTGAGAAGACTAATCCGGGTTGTGGTGGGAAGCTTGTTCAAGGGCAGGACACAGAGCTGCTGATGGACAGTGTCTTTACACAGATCAAACCTGTCACTTCAGGCTGACGGGGCTGTCCTTCTGCCTCTCTGCTGTCATGTCAACTGCACAAATAGCATCGAGTGGTTTCCAGATGGCACAGCCGCAGTACAAAGGGCAGAGGTGGGCACGCACAACGTCATGCTCCAATATAGAACATTGGACACTTAGCTCGTGGTGACTGGAACATGTTTTTTTATTTTATTGGAATTATTCAGTGGCTCCACAAATAAAATAAAACTAAGCAAGAAATTCAATGTGGAGACATGCACTAGTAATAGGCAAAATATAATCAACACTCCGATATTCGGTGACAAGGGAAATAGGTGGCAGTAATAATATAGTAATATTCTATCCATCCATCCATTTTCTTCCCCTTAATCCATTTCTGGGTCGGGGGGGGGGTGGCAGTCAGAGCTGCACCCAAGTCTCATAGCACCAGCCCCTCACTGATCCTCTGCAGGTGGTGAGTCCACAGGAGGATATAGTAATATCATTAAAGTTAAAACTGGTCATTTTGCTATTAAAAGATTTTTCAATTTAGGACAATACATATTTTAACTGTGTATCTTCTGCTGTTCGAGACGGCTGTCTGTGTTCAAATGTATGATGGTACATTTTTACACTTCTAACTTATCCATTTATGTTGATGGTATTTATACGAGTTGGGCATTTTTCAGCACATACTGTATTTACTTTTTGTCTTACGACACATGAGCAAAGGTTCAGGACAAGTCCTACGACCGAGTCAAGGTCCGGATCTGAAATCTGACCAAGACTAAGACCAGACCATTTGTTTATTGTATGCAGTCACAATTTATTTGTATTGTGGTGGAGACGAAGGCGCCACCCGCATGTGAAAGCCAAACCCCTTCAGACCGCTGAAGCTAAGCAGGACAGGGCCTGGTTAGCACTTCACCCATATTGCCTAGAATGAGTCAGGTGTGCGGGTGAATGGTTGATGGTGGTCAGTTGCCTTGATTCTGTGCCCCAGGGCAACTGTGGCTACAATAGTAGTTTATCACCACCGTGTATGGAGGGAATTAATAGTGTCATGTGAAGCATCTTGGGTTGTCTAAAAACCTATATTAGAACTATTTTATTTTACATGTTTGACATGGTTGAGTCATAACACGTTTTGACGAAACTACCGCTGGTCTGAGTCAACGAGAAGTTGCCTGTATTGTCCTGTATTTTTAAAATAATAATTACGTGATAAGGGACTGTTTTTTGGCTATTTTTGCTTTAATGAGCACTGCAAACACCTTGCCCACTAATAAAATGATAAGACAGTCTTCATAAACAAACAACTCAAAAATAAAGTGACGCTTAAAATGTGGACTTCAAAACAAACTCCCCAATTTGGACTCTCGCAAAAATCGCGTGATGCTGTACAATTATCCCCAGGAAACATCTCTGTCGCCTTGAGTTTGGTGACACAGGGAAGCCATTATCTTTTCAACAGGGATTTTTATTATTCAACGGGGCTGCATTGTTTGCAGCCCCGTCTGGAAATAATGTGTCAAGTAATCTGGGAACAGAGGAGCCCGGGCTGACACTGTGTTAACCTGCTGCGGATCTCATTTCTCTTCAGGGGATGCTAAATTTCTCCCAACTTTCCTCAGAATCCTTTTTTTTGCTGCAGGCAAAAACTTCAGAGGGATTCATCAAACTGTTTCTCTTATGTGATCTTTGCAAATCAGTTTTTAATTGACAAAGTGGCGGAAGATAAATAAATAGTCACAACTGTCTGTCGCTGAAGGAAGGGAACTTGGTAAAAGTGATATACATTTATTCAATCCAAATGTGTAATACTTGGTTATAATTTTATTTGATCATTTCGAATTGCACAACAGCATAAAATCTCTGGCCAAAAAAGTTGCATGCTTTTGAGGAAAATCACAGAACCGGGAGGGTAGAAACTTAAACACAATGATACACTATTGGACAGACGGAAGCTTGAAGTTTGCGTATAGATCCAACATGACGTCAGCAAACGTGACACCTTCTATCAATCAAGCTTTAGACCGTGTTCACTCGCACAAACAACAGTAATTGTTTGGCACCATTGTGTAAACATCATCCGTCTTCTTCCCTTATTTTCTGTCACTAGACATACATTATTGTGTTGGCTTTGGACTTTGACTATGGATAATCAAAAACCACACTTCTCATTAAAAAAATAAGGGATTACTTACTTACAAATAAAAAAATAATAATGAATGGTTCCAAAACTAAATATTATTTTGTGATACAAAGAGTAATACTTACAACATTGCAATAAATAATTTCTGAAAATGCAACCATTGCTAATTAGCGCCAATGCCATTAAACACTATACAAATTAAATTTGCCTTTAAAATCAGCTATTTAGAACTGCTGTCAAACAGTCAAACTTATTATGTCTGAATGTTGGTAAAAAAAATGAAATAAAAATATACAGGAACAGAGAACTCACCGGCCAGAGCCCAGGATCCAGTGGCCTTGTGTGTGTGGCCGCTATAGAAGACCAAGTAGGTGTCATGGCGCGGCCCGTCTGCAGTCCGGAGCTCCAGGAAGCTGCGCAGCTTGTTGAGTACAGCCTCTAGACTGAGGCCACTGGTGGAATAGTCACAGCCGAACGTCTGCACCATGTGGAGGGAGAAGAGGCGCTGGATACTGTTGAGCATCCCTGTGGCTCGGACATTCAACTGCTGCACTTGGTCTGGAGGCAACAGAGCAGGCTGACCGTCCGCACTGAGGAGACAACGTAAAGCAAGAAGTTTCAAATGTTCCCTTTCCACAGAGACGATGCTGGGTCATTGCATAACCAGTTCTTTTATTTACCATTCAAAAACATATGAGCTGCCTGATACCAGAAATTGGTCCTGACAGTATTTACATAAGAACAATGTGTTAAACATCAAGAGAGACATTGTAGTAAAAATACACACATGAAACTATCTGCAGAAAGATTTTTGAACAAATTAGTCTAATTTACTCTAACATGACTGAGTGCATTTGATGCAAAGAACATTGCATTTACAAGGAGCATTATAGGAGAAAGAAGCTTCTTCTACTTTTTTTCCTAGTGTTTACATGAGTTACAACAAGAGGTTTGAGGTCTAAAGGCATAAGTAAATGACTATGGAGGGGGCAGGAAGAGGAAAGAGAGGGACCTTAGCACTACGATAAATAGGATAAATATCTGTAATTACACAGTGTATTATTAGCATTGTGTGGTAAAGGGATATGTTTTTCCTCAATACATTATTTATTAAAAAGTAACCAAAGTTGTGAGATTAAAAGTGTTCCAAGAGAAGTTTGTCTTTAACAATTCCCAATGCTATTAACCATTCCTGAAAGTCCCAACCATTTAAGAAAAGACAACCTGACTCAGAGTGGGATGTAATAGTCAAAAACACAAGGTATAATTGTTGTTAGAAGATAGGGAAGCTCGTCATCTATGTTCAGAGCAAGTTTCTCATTGTCTTTGATGACTGACTGAAGACCAAATGAAAAATGTCAATGAACAAAATGACCTTTTTGCTCTTTGAAGAAAACGATGTAAAAAAGCACCAGCTTCTAGCCAGGCTAGATTGAACATTCATAATTAATAATGAGGAACTGATAAGCAGATAGACAGTAGATAAGCAACCGGAATATAGTTAGACATTTCTAAACTCCCCAGTTCTAATAACAAATAAATGCGTGCCGCAGTGAAGGAGAGACGGGACACAGGGAGATGAATGAGTGAGGAGTTGATAGTTTGACACAAAGGGGCGGAGGGACTGTCTGCACCAGCGCAGAGAAGCCAAACATGAGAGGGATAAAAGGACGAGGGGAGGGGAACCAAACGCACCACGGAGGATTGAGCTACAAAAAAAATACACCGACCGGGAACTTCACACAGATTAAAGTTACTTATTTCTATAAAAGTGTTTGTGAGCCTGTGCTCACAGAGACCCGTACATGCAAGATCAAAATTGGGACTAA